CCTGGCTATTTTTTTGTTGCAGCCATTATTGTTGTTTGGCGGGCCTGGGCTGGGGATTCGAACCCGCCACCTTAGGTGTACGTAGCTGGCGCCTTAGCCGCTTGAGCCACAGGTGCCGAGCCAAAGGAGATTTTTCTTGACAGGAGAATGTGTTTTATTTGAAGTGTATTTACTTGCTTAGGAAAGCATAGAAAATCTCTATTAAATTAGAAAATAACTGGGAGCTTGAGTATTTTGAGAGTTGGGGCAGGAAAATTAATTGCTTGAAAAAGTGTTGAGAATTTTTTTAGACATGGATTTATTTCTTTGCTTTATTAGTGTTTATAAATGCAAAGAACTTAACCTTTTATTTCAGAACTGAAATTAGAGGGTATTGTTGTTATTTAAAATGTCCCCCAGGGTAGTATTTCATTTAATGGTATCATCTAGCTGAAGTGTAAATGTTTTAACTCTGCTGGCTTTCTGTGTCTTCAGTATGCTGATTGTTCATAACAAGTAATATTTTAGTTTTTTTGTCATTTTTAAATTTCACTGACATTGAATTACTTAGAATTGGTGTAGAGGATGAGCACAAAATTAATGTTTTTTAATGTAATCCTTTGTTTTCCTCCTCAGGAACCTTGGGTAATGTGGAACATGGGAACCAATACCAGATCAAATTGATGTATGAACACTATCTTCAGAGAACAGCCTGCAATATGACCTATGGATCATTTGGTGGTGTAAAAGGTAATTTGCTTTTAATCATGCGTATGCTATTTCAAGTGGCATATTTAGAATATTTGGTCACATAAAAATGGAAGATTATGTAGTTTGAATCTCAGCGAGAGTTAAGATAGGTATTTTATTAAAACCTTTGTATCCAAATAGTCAAGCAAAATAATAAAAAAGGAAAATTCACAATGTAACCTAAACATTTGTACCCTCATATTGATCTGAAATTTAAAAAAAACCCAAAACCCCTACTTTCCAGGACTGCTGCACAGGGTTCTAGAAGTTGTTTCTGCACAAAGTCAGCTAGAAGCGGGGCCGGAGGGATGGAAAGACAGACTTGATCCTGCTTGTCAAGCCACACTGTCTGGCTTGGAGAAAATCTACCCAGAAGAGAGGGTGCCTTTTCTTAATTTCTCAAAGGTATCACCTTTACCAAGCATTGGCTCAGAAAGGCTGATTTCCTCCATGTTGGGGGTTTCTTTTTCTGCTACCTGCATTGTGACCACCAGTCCCAGAGCTTCCAGAATCACCAGAGTTCAGTGGTTGCTTGTGTGCACTGTTGCTATTAATAGAGGAAGATTCTTATTAACTGTCCAACTTTTTTCACTGTACTATGACAGAGTGGTAGAGGAGCTGATGGTGCTGGATTGAAGACAGGAATCTAGGTGGTGACACCTATGTAATTTTGTGACTCTGAGTGTGTATGGATGTGTGCTCATGGGTCACCTGCAGAACAGATAATTAGGGGTCTCATACGTAGGTCATTAAAAGTTCTGAGATAGACTGTGTTATGGTTTGTCATTTCACTTCTAAGCAACACAGTTGACGGTGTCCTTTCTGATTCACCTGTGTGAGTTTCAACTTGCTCAGCTTATTGGTGTTGCTGGGAGGGCTTCATTTGTTTCTGTTCATGTGGATTTCACATGTTTCTTGACTTTTGCATATCTGCAAGCTTTCATAATGACCCACATAATACTTTAGCTTTTTCTGGACACACATTTTTATGAATTTACTATTTAACTATTTCTTTTCTTTCTTTTTTTTTTTTTAAGAGACAGAATCTCACTTTGTTGCCTTTGGTAGAGTGCTGTGGGATCACAGCTCATAGCAACCTCCAGGTCTTGGGCTTAGGTGATTCTCTTGCCTCAGCCTCCCGAGTAGTTGGGACTACAGGCTCCCACCACAACACCTGGCTTTTTTTTTTTATTAAAGTTTGGCTGGGGCAGGGTCCGAACCCACCACCCTCTGTATATGGGGCCTGGTGCCCTACTCACTGAGCCTCAGGTGCTGCCCTATTTAACTATTTCTTGCACTAAAGAGGCTATGGTTGCATAGGGAATGGCAAATATGTTTTCTGACTCCCCAACTTTTTGGGAACTGAAACCTGCATCCTTGCCTCAGGCCAGTGGTTAGGAGGGATAGGGAATGTCTCTTGTTCTTTGTGCCACAGGAAAGATGGGATTAATCCAGGTCTGTTTTAGCTAAAGAGGGATGGATGGCTCCAGGTAGAGGCCACAAGATTGTCTTGGCCCAAAATGGGATTGTGGGGTCAGAACCTTTAAAAGTCTGTGCTTCTGCTCAGAAGCAGGAATTTGGATTTAGAGACTGTTTTGCCATTTTTTTCGGACTATTTCTCTTTTGTTGTTGTTGTTGTTGAGACAGAATCTCACTCTGTAATCCTGAGTAGAGGGCTGTAGTGCCTGCCACCATGCCTGGCTCTAGTTTTTCTACTTTTAGTAGAGATGGGGCTGGTCTCAAACTCCTGAGCTCAGGTGATCCACCTGCCTCAGCTTCCCAGAGTGCTAGGGATTATAGGCGTGATCCACTGCATCCGGCCAGACCATTCCCTCTGCAACAGTACCTTTATTAGATCTTTCCTTAGCAACAAGAGAAAACCACTTTATTATGAAGTGTCTTTCATTTGTGTGAACTCAGTTTTTCATACATGAAGATAAAGACAAGGAATAGATGACTTTGGCAATACCAATAGCATCATGAATATTATTGGTGTGAGGTGTAAATATCAATAAGTGCTATATGTAGCTAAAATGATGTGAAAAAAACAATTGGCTAGAGTAGAGATTGCTTGAGCATCAAGAATATTTGGATTATTTGGTAATATGGAGATGTCTAGAGTTAGATGAAAACTGGAGAAAAAGAACCATGATTTAGATGAGAATCTGCTGGTGAAGTACTTCTCACCCTCACCTTTTATTTTTATTTATTTATTTATTTTGAGACAGAGTCTTACTATGTTACTATGTCACCCTCGGTAGAGTGCCCTGGCAACACAGCTCACAGTAACCTTAAACTCTTGGGCTTAAGCGATTCTCTTGCCTCAGCCTCCCAAGTAGTTGGGACTACAGGCGCCCACCACAATGCCCAGCTATTTTTTGTTGTCGGAGTTGCAGTTGTCATTGTTGTTTTAGCTGGCCCAGGCTAGGTTCGAACCCACCAGCCTTGCTGAATGTGGCCCATGCCCTACCCACTGAGCTACGAGTGCCACCCACCCTCAACTTTTAGAACTGATTTGCCATTCTTTGAAAATATATCTGACTGGACTAGATGCCCTAGATAACTTTTGTATAATTAGTTATTTCCGGTTAATGTTTCCCTCTTAAATCCCCAAAAAGCAAATTACTAAATTCTATGGATCCAGAGTTCAAAAAATTGATATGAGAAAAAAGTGTGTTGTCTACATAAAAGCATTTTTGGAAAGCCTCATGATAATGCTTTATATTTCAAATCTTATATAGATTACATTGCACTTTTAATTCTATTGCCAGATCAAGTTAGCCCAATTAAAATAAATTCCTTTTGTGTAACATTTTTTGAGGGATTTAATAATAGACTTCCAAAATAATGGGATTTAGGACATGCAACCCTAAAATATGACTTGACTTGTTTAGGAAAACAGCAGAATCAGAAAGGTTACATTGTCTTCCCCCCATTTTCTTCCCTGAAGGAGGTCATATAACCTAGGAAGGATGGTTTGACCTTCCATTGAAGCAGACCCTGATGTGAGAGGTGCCCTCTCTATACCTGGAAGAAAAGACTATTCTTACCTCTGAAGATGAAGGGTCACAGAGAAGAATCTAAACAAATAGGCCTTACTAAGTTCCGCCAGTTTATTACCATTAGGTCATACTTTTTGCTGTATCACATTTATTTATGACAGTCCACTCTTCATCAAACTTAACATAAAAATACATAGATTTCACTGTTTCTTTAGGTGCTGATTTCCTTATGAAGACTGTTGTGTCACATAGAACCTATATTTAATGAATGTGTACACTCTTTTCTTGTTAACCTTTTGTTATAGGGGTCTCACCTGTGAACCTAGGATAGATGAGGAAAAGATGTTTTTCCACCCTTACAAATGATAGAGGTTTGGAAAAGGATGGATAACTTTGTGTTTATATACTTTTCTTCTCTTAGCTCTCAATTTATGACTTATGTTTAAAAAGTACGTTGTGAAAGAACAAGAAGCCATTCCGCCATTTCCTATGATTAAATAGCATTAACCCAAGTAAATGACTAAGGCCAAAAAATTTCAATGAAGGAATGAACGTTTATTAAGCCAAAGTTAGGGATGCACCTGGGAAAAACACAAACCACAGATAAGGTGTAGCTGTGTTTTCCATAGGGGTAGTTGGAACCTTCAACCTTTGAAGGCACATGTAGAGACAGGAAAAGGGTTAGGGCAAGCGGATGATGCACAATTTTTATATTCTTGTGAGACCCAGGAAATTACATTTTACATGAAATAAGGGTACTGGTAGTAGAAGAGAAAAAGGAAGTGAAGGATGGATCAATTATGTAGTTGTCCCTGAGTAGATGGACGAATATCTGATGTTGTCTTGTCTCTACTTCTGTTAATTGTAAAGATAAACTTAAAATTCATTATTAGTGTGGAAGTGAACAAGATTTAGTTTTAGGTGCTACACATGGTTAAAATTTGCATGCTCTTGCCTATGGGAGGTCAGCAAGGGATTTCCTTAACGGGGCCAAGTCTTTATAGATTCCTGAGGCCTTTACCTTTTCTTTTTCGTAAGGAATTTTGTGTGTGTGTGTGTGTGTGGGGAATTGTTGAGATTTTAATTTTCTTTTTACATTAGCAAAACTGTTGGGGGTCATGGGTCCCCATTCCCTGAACCGGGTTGACCTGGTTCAATTTCTTGGCTGAGCTAGAAAGTTCAACAGAGGCATGGGGGTAGTTGTAAGCAAAATTGAATTGAAACAAAATAAGAGTGGAACAGCACAGGCTGAGTGAATAGAGAGCAAAAGTAACTTGCATAAGTTTCAGTGTAACAAAAAGACATTTTATTTAGGAAGAACAAAAAGAAAGGAGAGCACTTCCAAAGAAAGTTGGAAGTGGGTCCCTCTCATGAAGAGCAGAGGTGAGAGACTGAGACACAAAGGCCAGCAGAGGTATAAATACCCTCTTCCTCTCAGTTTGAAACTGATTGTGACTCTTTTCATTGGTCTCTCTGCACCTCCAGGCATTATTGCCCTTTTCTACTGATCATTGATTATTGTCTCTTTCTATTGGTCATTGGTTACTTAGGTCACCTCATACATTCTATGGGCCCTCCAGACTTCCTGGTTAGGCAAGCCAGTTTTCCTCCCACCTCACTTGAAGCTCCTCTCTTAGTGTCCCTTCTTAAAAATTTCACAATTTGAAACAAGTATCAGAGTAGCAGAAGGAATTATTCTATGTTATGGGTTTGAAACAATTATGTGTTGTCTTTGGGGTATAGGGCCAAGGGCAAACTTCCCCTTTGTTTTCTGAAAGTTCGCTGAAAAATCAACTCACCAAAGGCGATTAATAGGAGAAGAGGAAAGGCATATAAGTTTATTAATGTACACACAGTGGAGAACCATAGAGTGATTACCTCAACCCTCCAATGGAGTGCAGAAGCATCACAGAGTGTTGGTGCTTGGATCCTTACAAAATAGATTATGGAGGGAGAGAAGAGGGGGCTTGGTAGCAAAGGTGGTCTTGATATGTAGAT